GCTGAAGATGTGTGAAGCCTCAAAAACTTTAATTTAATTTCATTTATTTAAGAGAAAATGATTTTATGGTTAATTATTGCTTCAATTCTACAACAGTGTTTTTGCTGCTATTTATCTGTTATGGTGACAAAATGCTGAAGCACTTAACTACAGAATATAGGACCTACATACAGTATCCTTGCCAGATGTTTAATTAAATTCCCTCTAAAAGCAGATCTTTTTAGTCTTATCTAAAACATGATTTGTTGTTCTTTGTTTGACTCAAGCTCCTTTCTCCAGCTATTTCTGCATGACGTCTCTCCCACCCACACACGTCTGACTAAAAGGCAATCCAAAAACTGCTCTGATAACACATTTGTTCCTTGGCAACGTGCATTTTAATGATAAACCATTAATTCACTAAACCTACTTTCTGTCATTTAATAATGATGCCTGCTTTAAATTACTGCCATCTCTTTGCACTTGACTAAGCTGTGTGTAGTATGAACTGCTGTGATTACTGGTGTCACTGAAAGAAAAGACTTTAACACCAGGCAGAAAGAATTTGGGCTGCTTTGTTTATGCACAAACTCAGCCTTTGCCACTCATTCCTAAAAATCCTTGTGAGCAATCTAAAATTAATTAAATTGTCACCGAATACCACAAAAACACTGCAGAAGCTAAACATTATAATCATAATGGGAACACTGAAAGAGAAAGATGTAGTTCCAATCTTACAATATTTTAATTTGATACCTCTTACTTTTTATCCCTGTATTGAGCGACTTTAATCTGTTTAAAAAAAAAAAAAAAAAAGGAATTGTCTTCCCATTCTGTGACCTGAAAGGATGTTGGCCTGTGTCTTGACTGAGACTGCACTTCTGGTGCAATGTGGAATAAATACTAAAAAATATATAACAATAGTAAATAATTGTCCACTGGATTTAGTTTAAGACACTTTCCTCAGTTTATTTCCCAAAACAAGCTCAAACTATGACTCGCCCTTATGAATACGTTATTGCCTATGTGGCACATGTAATAATAACCGGTCAAAACTATATGATAAATAAACTGACAGCCTTTATCTTAATCCCAGATTTAAGACAGGACGCATTAATACTTAGGCTATGTTTAAAAATATAAAAATATACATTTTCATAAAGTAAAGCGAGAACAAGAAAACATTAAAAAGAATCAGTATTATAAATAAACACTTATCTCCTTCTTATTTAGTTTCAATTATCTCCCCCATTGGGTATTGATTATTTAATGCTGAGCTCAACTGAGCACGTGGATGCAGAAAAAAAATACTGATCGGGACTTTAAAACGTGTAATCGTCAGTTTATCAGATGTGTACTGGAAGTTATAAAGTTTTAGTTAGGAGAAGTTTTATCAGCTCCAGCCCTGAGTGAGCGACATGGTCTGATAGTGAAACTTCAGCTGCTGACACACACAAAAAGTTTTAGTTTAAAAAAAAAGAGAGAAAAAAGTTAGAAGAAGTACGATCAGACATCTACCGAAGTGGAGTCGTTACGCACAAAAGTTAGTCGGTCGGAGAGGAACAGACCTTGGTGTATTTGATCTCCGGGTTGGGCACCGGTGAGGGCATCAGCTGGAGGGATGCCATGAGTGCAGCGGGGTCGCTCTTCACCTCTCCGGGGATCTCGATCTTACTGGAAGTCATCGCGGCCGTCTCTCTCTCTCTCTGCACTCGTCTGCCTGCTGCGCCTCTCTGGGTTTTTTCAACAGATTTCTGATTAGGACTTTGGGTTCCTTCCTGGGTTTATAGCCAGGTGTCAGCCGCGGTTCATTTTCATTGGGCAAAGGAAAGGGCTGTCCTTTCGAAAATTATATTCACGCATTTACATAAACGACCTCAGCCATGCGTGTTAAGGAGGAGAAACACATCCACCCCACCCACCTCACACTGTTTCCACTGCTTTCACTCACCAACAGACAGTTTTGCTACGGTAATTCATAGTTTTACACACACACACACACACACACACACACACACACACACATTAAACTCTGAGATTATTACAAACACAGAGCCATGAATAAAAAAAAAAGACTTTTGAGCTGACCTTTGTATTAATCTCAGGTATAGGCCTACATTAAGAATAGAACAGAATAAATCGCCTAAATGAGTTTAAAGTGACACAAAGGGTATAATCTTCAAACTAGTTCCCCAAACGTACTAAAGCATTATAGTCTAATGAATCCTACATAATTTGAGGGGGGAACAATCCCACCACAAGGTCCATTTAGTAGCTCTTCTGGTATCACACGACCTTCATCAGCAGATAAGAGTTTATTCAGTTCAATTTCCATTTTTCCACTTTAATGATTTCTCCTCCATCCTGGCAAAATAGATACAGATTTAAAGTTAAATCTCGACCTTGGAAAACAAAACTTCTCCACAAATACATACAAATGCATATCCACTCTTTTACTGAAAATATGAACTCAGATTCTTCACACCATCATTAACCATTTCCTAAGTGACATAAAGGTGTCAAACTACTTTCCTCGGCTCACTATCACCCTGTAGTCTTTATTTGCCTAACACAACCTCCCCACGGTCTAAGATGTTATGTAAATGGTAACTAGAGGGATTGCTGCTACTCGCTGGGGTGTTGTTGGCAGAGATTTGTCCTGCAGGTGATAATTCCTTCCAGCGCCTCCTTTAAAACTCCCAATAAACATCCACCAATTAGCTTTTAGCCGTGAAAACCAAAGGAATTAAAGCAAATCCACGCATGTATTAACACATCCACAACAACCGCATTTCCCCGCACATTCATGAGGCCACTCAGGTAACAGTTAAGAGGGTAAACCAGGAGTGTATTGGAGATTTTAGACTTTGGGTGTAAGATTGTGAGGAATGTAAAGAAACAGGAGAAGAATCCAGATCAAGAGATAAATGTATCTGTGGTCAGTGGAATAACAATGAACTTTTAATACGAGCCCACCCCCATTCATATCCTCCAAGAATAATCTTTTCAACCAAGCGGAAGGGGCCTTTAAATTTTAGATTTCATAATCTGAGCCTCTTGACAGGACAAAGGAGCGCGGAGACAGATGTAGGGCCCATAATTTGCAAATCCCCGGAGGATGCTGTTTCTCCATCAGCACATCAGCCTTTTTTCACAGCATGGGCGACACACTCAAAGTGTCTGTTTCACATCAAAGAGGACGTGCCCGAAACGGTGACATTGATTAATGCATTCAAAACATCCCATCCTCAGCCTGTCGCCCTCACCTTTTCACAAAGCACAGTGAACGGAAGATAAGACATACCGGGGAGACGGTGTGACAAACTTCAGCCGGCAGTTCAAATGTATTCATGGAGCTCCCTCTGTTGGACGAAGTGGGCCTCGGATATCTCACAGTCACACTCACATATTCAACTTTTAACGGTATATTTACCAAGAGCGGTTAATAAGATCAATGGGATGTGTAATTGTAACAACATGGAGGCAAGCAGGACAACTGGAAATATGATGTCTGGGAGAAGTGGCTCCGCAGTATTTCTGCATGAAGAAAGGTGAGTGAGAAAACTTTCTGACATGGTGAAAGAAGAGAGACAAAAACATGCAAGGAAAAGTTTTACAAAAAGAACAATGAAAAAGTTGGGACAATGTGGGTGTTTTTAGAGAGTTAATTTCGTAATAGGATGTTTCTTATTAACAAAATATCTACAAAGACATATAAACAACAGAGCATAAATAATTTATAAAGTAGGAGTCTGGTTGTTTTCTCCAATACACAACTTCATGTGTTATAACATAAACATATTAATGGGTCATAATTTAGTCTATAAGACTTATACAGTGGAAATACAGACTAAAGGCCTAAAGTAACACACTCGATCTCATTAAACTGGTTTTCAGAATATTAATATATTTGTTATTTTTTACTCTGGTGAATACTTTTTTTTTTCTTTTGGCATTAATATATTTTACGATCATTATTTAAAGATTCATTTGGGCCTTTTAAACCTGCCTATAGGAGCATGGGTATAGGTTTTAATAGCCTGGAGGTTTTAATAATGTTCGTACAAAATTGTACTCTCCCAGTGACTTTTTTATCATTTGAAATGTTTTAAATGCCAAAAAGAGACAAAGCTGTACATGATGTGAAATTGATTGCCTATGTTTATTATCGGCTAATCAGATAAACAAATAAAAAAAAATGAAACAATTATATTTGCATATTGGAAAGATCATCTGTGATTTATTAAACATGAAGTTCTGAGACTGTTAGTGTAAAAATATCCATTGACCTGAATTTCATAATCCCTCACTGTGTGATGAACCTCTGAATGGACAATAAAAACATCTATTTTATTTGTCAGTGTTGTCATCGATAAAGGAGGGCGCTACTTACACAGCTTTAAAGTCATCCAAATGTTGTAATTGAAAACGTGACTGTTGGTTTATGTAATTCTTGGTGGTAATGAGCACATTTGAGACTTAATTATCTTAATATCAATCCAAGTGTTTTCATATGTTTCTTATTTGTTCACATTTGTTTTGTCATATTGTGTCTCCGAGACTCACAGCTGCAAGTTTAGTGATCTACTAAAATATCCTCTTAAGATATATATATATATATATATATATCTTATCTTTCGTGTTTTTATTTCCAAAGCAGCCTATTATCTAAAGAATTTCTCTATTTGACATTTTATATTCGGATTCTTCATCAACGTGTTGCCTAATTTGTTATTTGTTATCTAAAAAAAATCAAATGTATATGAATGCAAATAAAATCCAATACTTTCAGTAACTGTTAGGTCTGAATGCCAGTGTAATGCTCCGGAGCCCATTTCTCTAATAAAAAGTAGACCCCTTGTGGTTACAAAGGGAAATAGATGCAGAAAGCTTAACGTGCCTGTCGGCCTGCCGACGGCTGCACGGTCCGAGCGCACCGAGTGGGAGGCGGCAACCTGCACCGACAATTACACACAGACTCCATCGTAGTTGTTAGCTGTTTGTTCTGGTCGGAGGAAGACATCAAGCAGCCGCAGGGGGGGAAAATGGAAAATGAGAACAAGAAGAAGATGAAGGAGAGATTTGGCCTGAGGCGGGACATTTTTAAGGAGTTCCTGGCGGAATTTCTGGGGATATTTGTCCTGATAGTGAGTACCTCCCTCTGCACCTGTCATCCAGCTTAAACAGCCGCTTTAAAGCTGTGAAGGAGTATGCTAATAAGGTGTCAAACTGGGTCTCCAGGGACTGCTGTCTCTCATATGTCTCTATTAGGATATAGTATATACTCTGGGAATAACAGACTTTCTCTTTGATGCTCAGCTGTAATTGCTCCTGATAGCAAGATGTGGCTGATGTGGGACTGATTTTCATCCACACAACTCCTCCAGAAGTGCAATGTCACACAAAATTCTAATTATTATAACAATATAATCAATAACAGTCTCTCAAATGGGGGTGGGGGGTAACAGATGACTTGTAGCAAATGATCAGTTCACTAGAGCAGTAGCATTGCTTTTCTTTATGTTTCCTTTTCATTTTCTTAAAAAAATTTGCCTATAGTTTTCAATTATTATGTGTTTTTAGTCTGGACTGTCCTCCGCCTGTCACCCATCTGAGTCCACTTAAATGCCTGTGATGCCACAACAGAAGAGTGATACAGCTTCCACAACTGCCCTTTTTTTAAAATTTGGATGAGTGGTGCCCTCTCAACACCTTTTTTTGGTCTGAATTACTTCTGCCTTTTACCCAGTAAGTGGGGGATTCATTATTTTTCCGAGCTCCGAGTTGGACAAATTCTCTTTGGCAGTCACCGACTGTTGGTGGACAAGAGGGCTAGTGTTAATGGCGGGTATAATTGGAATAATTAAAAACAATGAGTCTTTCTACCTCCACCCTTTGTGTTTTTTTCTTGTCTCTGTCCCAGCTCTTTGGATGTGGTTCAGTGGCCCAGACGGTGCTGAGTAAAGGGGCTCTAGGGGAGCCCTTGACCATCCACATTGGTTTTACTCTGGGAGTCATGATGGCTGTCTACATGGCAGGGGGAGTGTCAGGTAAAAGTAGCCCACGCTTTGTATGGATACCTACACAGCTCACACACACACTCTCACAGTCATGACAGTACTAAACCATCCACTTTCTCAACTCTTGCTCAACTAGTGATTATTTGCATTATATTATTCTGCAAATTAGTTTCTTGATGTTTTCAAAAATGGTGAAAAGTGCCAGTTTCCTGAAGCCAGAAGTGACATTTTTATATATTTTTTTTATAAGACTTGTCTAAAACCCCAAAATATTTAGAGAAAAAGCACTGATTCTCACAATTAAGAAGCTAAATCTAAGGGACGTTTGGCTTTTTTACTTGAAAAAATAACTTAAACAATTGATCGATAGTTTAGATAGTTGCAGATTAGTTTTCTGACAGGTGACTAATTGTTTCCACTCCACCTATGAGCATGTAGGCGTTAATGACAAAGATGCTTTCTCTGTAGTTCAATTGTTTTTTCAGCTGTCTGAAAAACAAGGAAGGCATATAATATTTTGATATTTCAGCCTAAAAAAACCTACAAACACAGGCTCGTATCAAAGGTCATCACTCAGAGTTTGTCTGTGGTGGAGATGCCACCTTTGGTTGTGGATGTCTGACTGTCTCTTTGTAGTATAACAACTCTCTCCTCCAGGTTACTCTGTCACTGTTATCTCCATCATCAAAGTATTTACATGAAAAACCTTTGCAGAGATCAGGCTGAATTTTCTTCTCGGATGACTGACATCATCGCATTAGCTTAGTGATCTAGATAAAGTGATGGCCTATGAAGACCAATGTAGACCTTTGAAAAGTCTTGTAATTACATAATCCACAATGGAAAGAATACAACATAAAGTAACCTCTTTTGTGGTCTAGAAGGAAATAATTACTAATATGGGGGAATTAGTTTTTTTTATTGGAGATCAAACTAAGTGCTGTTACTTAAATACCATCTCTGGTGGGCTGATTTTCAGTGTAAGAGTGGTGTCAGTGTGCTTGCGACTGAAGATATTGTGTCCCGATGTCCAAATGGGACTTTATAGGGTACATTCTTCAAGGATTACAGCAAGATGAGCCCTCTGTGTGTTGCCAGAAATGATAGAGATAGGAGGGAATAGTTGTTAAATGTCACAGTGCTTTTTACGGGTTTGCTGAGCCAAAATAGTGAGTGTCCATTAATCAGCAATCAAGGGATTCATTATGTTGAGGGTTGCACTGTTCAGGCTTCATAAATGATTTTTTCCAGCACTGCTGGGAAGTGAACAATAATGATCAAAACCAGAGCATCTGATGGCATAATAACTGTTTAAAGGAACAGTTTGACATTTTGGGAAATACTTATTTTCTCAAATCTGTCCATCGAATATGAAGCTACAACCAACAGACTGTTAGCTTTGCTTATGATAAAGACCGGACATGGGGTAAAACAGCTACACCTAGCACCCCTAAAGTTCAATAATTAACGCGTTACGTCTCATTTGTTTAATCAATTTTTGGGTTTTGAGCAGTTGCCTGGCAACCAGCGGAGACTCCAGAAAGTCACTGATCCAATACACATGGTACTTTGGTTTTTCTCACAGATTAAGCGAGATAAAACATGTTATATCTTATACCCCTTTTTCCAGTCTTTGTGCTAAGCTTAGCTAAACCCAGTCCATGCCATACAGACTTTGTATTTGGAACTAATGTATTTTGTTTCAGGATCGCACAAACTCTCCTGTGTCATGTGTTTTAGTCCATCAGTGATTTAGGGAACTAATATATTTATGGTATGTTGTGTTTTTGAAGAGATTTAAAATTATTCAGTGAGAAATTTGAGTTTGCAAGAGAATGAAAAAAGTGCAATATATGTTTAGTGCCGTGTGAATATGTGATATATGAATGAGGCATTTTATCCCTATCTTGTTTAGGATGGCTGTTGTGATCACTCTGACTCATGTTATAGTGTTACTTGTGCTACATGTTTAATGAGAGGAGTAGTAAAGCTTCAGAGGAATAGCAGAAAAGCCCGAGGACACGGAGGTTAATATATGGAGAGCCTTTGCTGCATGACTGGGCCATTCAGCCCTGGGGTCCACAGCTCAGTGGGAAGCTTCTGTCCAACGACATCTCTGAAGATGATCATAGGTATTGGACTAATGAGCTTTACTGGGGCATGGGTCTCTGGAGAGGAGGGGGGTCAGGTGTGACAAGCCTGGCTTTCTAGGCTTTCCTGGCAGGGCGGCCCCATAGGAGAAGAAAACACAATTGTTTTCACTTTGTAGTCTCAGATTTTAGATGACAGTGTACCATAAGTGTGACACATCATGGTCACTCTAATGACCTGCAGTCTACGTGTGCCTTAAGCAGATTCAGGCAGATTATGTCAGATGCAATTCAGACAGGCAGGTCTTGGTGGTTGTCGTGGTCAGTGTTTGTGAACAGGACAGGGAGATTAACAATGGGCGCATGGCTGATACCCCCAGTGGTGTTACCACAGCGAGGTCAAAGCCAAGATCCCAGAGTGTTAAATAAATGACCTCACACTGCCATCACAGCCCAGAAACAATTGGCTGGAATGTGTTCAAACCCGTCTCTTAAGGACAATTTATAATATAGGAAAACAGGCACACAAACCCAGTGCTCTTTGTTAGAAAAGACCCTCAAAGTTTTGAATGAATGAGCACCAGTGGGTTTGAACGCAGGCACTAAATGATCAGCCAGCCTGGCACTGACTGTTTTAATCCACTGAACTCAGTTTATCTTATCTCCTAAGAGAAGACAAACAAGAGCTTCTCAGGTCAATCAAAGATATTTGACTTAGAGCTGAAACAATTAGTCAATTAATCAACTGTTTTGATTAGAGCCTGACCGATAATGGGGTTTTGGGGCCAATGTTGATACCAATATTAGGTAGTAAAAACCTCAAATATCAATATATGGGGTGATATTCTTTTTAGACATATACACAAATATTTTGCTTAAATTATTGCTCAAATGTAGTTATCGAACACTTGTGACAAAGATATGTAATGAGAGCAGAATATTCTACAGTTTGACAATAAAAAGGCCCCAGAGAAAGCTTGATAAATCTCTGATTAATTGCCTCAAGGGATGTCAGTCAATTCAGCGTGAGTTGGTGCTGAAGACTACAAGTAACAATGAAGAAAGAAGTGAGCTTACCAGACCTCTGTGGCCCACTCCTCATCTCTTCTTAGGGCTACTGTCAGCAGTCTAGTTGCATTGTGGGTAATGTAGGCACCAGGTCCCATGTTAAATCCAAGATCCCAAAATGTGTTAAATAAATGACCCCAAACTGTCATCACTATGGCAGTTTGGGGTCATTATATTGTTAGTCTTTTACTCTTATTTTACAATACTGCCTTTTTATTAATAGGTGGAAGCAAATGTTACTTGATTTTGCTCATCTTTTTTTGTTGCATTGTTCCAGGAGCCCACGTTAACCCTGCAGTCTCTCTGGCCATGGTGATTCTGGGGAAGCTTCCTCTGAAGAAGTTCCCTGTGTATGTGGTGGCACAGTTCCTGGGGGCTTTTGCTGGATCCTGTGCTGTCTATGGGTTGTATTACGGTGGGTGTAAATGTGTAAATCAGTATTCCCAGAGAAGTGTGTCAGAAAGCAGGATTATGAGGTTATTTGGATATTTTTGTCTAAGGAAACCCAGAATTCCATAAAGTCTGAAAGAAGTGGAAACAAATTTTATCTTGATTTTATGTCCATTGTACTTTCCTTCCACAGATGCTTTGATGGAATACACCAATGGAGAATTTGTTGTTACTGGTGCAAATGCTACAGCCAACATATTTGCATCTTATCCTGCAAAACATCTCTCAGTCCTTAATGGGTTTGTTGATCAGGTAGGGCACTAACTTTAATATATTATGATATACCAGTGGCTAGGTCATATATACAAACATAAATATATTTACATGGATGATAATATTTATACAGTCTAAATAAACTTCCTGGTAACATGAAAGATAAACATGTTTTTAAATCATATATGAGTTATTATCTTCAGAGGGGTTTTGTCTCTTTTTTTATATGGAATTATTGATGTCAATGAGAAAGCATACATTTTCCAATGGGATTCTGTGTATGTGGAAGCCACTAGAGAATACAGAGAGCACGTGAGCATGCGTTAAGTGCAGTCATGGGTATGAATGTAAGCATAAATGGACATGTGAGTTGTTTGCTAATATATGAACAATTCTGCTCTGATGCTGAGAATAACTTCCATCTGTTCTGGATGTGTATGAGGCGAGATGCACATGTATGCATTAAAGGTATAATCAGTATAAATACATACAGTATATTATTTTAATTTAACATTATATTTTTTTATATTCATTTCATATATCATTTTACGGCAATGTTTACAGGCATCACTGATGTAAATAAAGCAGCTACACCATCAGAAACATTAATAATTAACTTTTAGTTGTTATGTAGAGTTATGGCGAGTCCTGTCAATGGATTTTGCTGTTTGGTAACGGGCTTTGGGAACACAGACTGTTTAATCTGTGAAATTATAATCTGTACAATTAAATAAAATAAATATTTGTAGCATTTTTAGATAATATGTTTAATATGAGAGAGATTATATTATTTGATAATCTAACTCTGCAATGTTTTCCTAATATTGAGCCATATGGGGCTAAATAGTAAAGTTGTCTTGGCTATACAGACTGAAACCAGGGGAAAGGGGAAGCCCCATAATAAGCTTAGACAGAGTAACATAGGGCAGAGGTCAGGTCACCACCACAGACGAGGTAATACAAAAACATCCTCTTAAAAACAACAACAATAACAAACAAGCAAAGAATTATATAACTGATGTTACGTCAATAATTGCCTTATGCTTTTGTTTTAAAGGTAATTGCAACTGGTGCGCTGATCCTGTGCATCCTGGCCATCACTGACAGGAAGAATATCGGTGCTCCAAAAGGTATGGAGCCTCTGTGCATCGGCCTGATTATTATGGCCATTGGAGTGTCCATGGGTCTGAACTGTGGCTATCCAATCAACCCAGCACGAGACCTCGGCCCACGGTTCTTCACCGCTGTGGCTGGGTGGGGCATGGACGTATTCAGGTAATTTTACTAATGTAGATACAAAAATGTGCCTGTTATCCCCCATAACATACGCAAGTAAGTAGGTAAGACATGTTTTCTGAGCTGCCTGCCCTGAGAGAGCTGGGAGTCCATTATTTACTGCTGCTCTCACTCTCACCACTGCCTGAGAATTAGTAGATGTGTGATGTAAGAAACTTTAACTAAGTGGCTGCTCTTCTCTGTCCCATATAAAGAGAAGCATTTGAACCTCCATTTCTGTTCTCTTCACTATCTGAATTAATATTTCAAAGACCGTGCGTGTATTTCCTGCAAAATGGGCTGTGGGCTTTAAGTGAACAGGGAGAGATTCCAGGCACGTAAATATTTATTATTCATTGCAGAAATGGCACAATTATATGTTCTTCAGTTTCTCTTTCTTCCTTTTATCTTCTTCCCCCGTCACCCTCCACCCAGCTGTTCCTGGTCCTGTTTTGTTGCAATTTTATTGATTATTATATTTAGACAGATTCAGGTGATTATTCTTTGTAGGATCACTACGAGCAACCTCTCTCACATTACTCACTGTCAAATGATACATACAAATATAATTTATAGCTGCTTTAAAGAATATGTATGCCAAAACTTACTGGCTTTGTAAATGTTTTAAGAGAAAGGAGATGTATTCAACATCACCACAGTTTGTCGGGCCTTACAATGTGTTTTACTGAGAAACACTCACACATAAATTGTTTATTTTAATGAAGCACCACGCAGTAAGGAATCTCTGGCTCTTATTCACCAGTAGTAGTAAAAGGGAACTTCTACAGTGATAGTGGGGGACCAAGCAAACCCAAGTATGACCCTTGCATGTCCTGTTTTGTATTGGGTCCTCCTCCCAGGCTGCCTCATTCATTACCCTTACCAGGTCACCCCGTTGGCTTTTGAAATGGTGTGTCACCTTTGCAAAGGTGCCACTCTAATGTCACAGAGTTGTACTTTTAAGATACTGTCCACACGTTGCAAACAAGAGAGGGGACAAGGTGCATCCCTGACTCGCTTTCACTTTGGACTTTGTCAAGAATGCAAACAAAGTTGTTATGCTACATGAATATAAACTAAATGGCTCACAACAGCAGACTTTATATGAATCAGAATCAGAATTGTTTATTGCCAGTAGTTATATTTTGTACTACTACAGGATAACACAAGGAACATTTTTGTCTGTGCAGGGCTAAAATACTGATTCTTTGTTGATGTTGACACAATTGCTATTGTTCTTCCTGAGTACCACTGGTGTGGTGCGTCTTGCAGTATCTTGATTTAAGCTGTAATTATCACTGAGGGACAGTAGTGTGATCCCTGGAAAGCTGGAAAACATTCCACTGGTCGTCTTTTTCAAGCTCTCAGGATGATTCAAACGTTGGTTGGTTGGTGCCTGACGCTCTTATTTTTTTGATTTCTTGTGGTAATTCTTCATGATAATGACGAGACATGTTAACTGTTGCACCTTAAAATATCCAAAGCTCTTAGCTGATCTCATCCACTACTGGCACCTTTCCATCGAGCAGCTTTCTAACCAGCCAGTGAACTCTACCAATTACATACTGTAGGCTGAGGTTCTTGATCTTTCCAGGTCACATTTGAGGTGCTCCAAGCAGCTCTATACAGACATACAACCTCAGAAATTGCAGCCTTTTTGGTTTGATAGTGGCTAGCTTCTACTGAAAATAATACTTTTCTTTGGGTCAGTGTTTATTAGTATTATTATTGTTATATGACACAGTTGACCTCTTTACCTAGCAAATCTAAACTTTTCTTTTTCTTCTCTCACGTGTTGCCTGTATCTGTTCTGTTCATGTCTTTGCCCTCACTGCCCTGTTTATCACTGCCCTGTTTATCACTGTCCCTGCCCTGGCCTTTTTTTTTTTTTTTTTTTTTTTTTTTTTCTTTTTTTTTTGCCCTTGAAAGCATTTGTACATGCTACTGCTAAAATGCATTAACAGTAGAGAATATGTGGTTGATCAAAAACACTGCTTGAATGATTATGGTGCCTCTATAATTGAACAGACCTGAATTATTAAATATTATAGTATTGTTCAATACAGCTATGGATTTTTAAAAGCAGAATTCTTGATTAATCCTGAAAATAACATAATATTAGGTGTGGTTGAAGGCAAATGCTACAGGACAGATACAGTGATTTCTGATGCTCATACCACAGCATTAACCATCACCAGATGGCTCATATGAAAACACATATATAGCAAGATTGTATTAATGCACATATAAGCCGTTGGTACTGTCAGCTTCATATCATGCATAAAATATGTGCTAAATCTGACATAATCTTTTACATTCATGATATAAACACTTTCTGTACATCATATCCCTGTTCAGCATTGAGTGTGAAGGCACTTGGCTCCACTCATGTCCACATGTCGTCAATGTGACCCACTGAGTGTCTGTCTCCTGACCTGATCATCTTAGCTGTGGCCATAGATTAAAGTCTATAATCCAGCCGCCTCCCTTTTCTTGTCTACTTCCTGAATGCCTACAGGAGAGAAAGATGACCTGCTCAGACGCTTGTTTACTTTCAGGCCTGTGCATCAGCTCTGTTAACTGAAGCCCTTTTCACCTGCAATAAAGACTCTTAACAGCCACATTGACCAGCAGGACTCTAATCTCCCTCTGGCTCTGTCTGTTCAGAGTGAGAATGAGGACACATGCAGTAGGTCTAACACACAGAGCTCCTTAAGACTTTACTGGTAATCTGGGATAACTGCGTCTAACCCACCTTAGATAGGATGATACTAACACAAACATATAGATCGGAGAGCCAATGTAGCAATTTAATATTGTATTTTTATATCTGTCTATAAAATTGTGGGACTTGCAAGAGACATATTAAAAAGAGATTAACAATAGTCAAAAGTGAAGCAGCAGAGATCAAGATATCTTCACTATAATATCTAGCTGTATCCTACACTTCCCATAATGCATATCAATAGTGTCTATTATGCAGCGTTTATGTTATGTCAAAGTTACCATAATTATAACTTTCTATAGTTTGTTGTAACTATGATTGTTAGTCCATGGACTCATGTCAGCTGAAGTCTACCATTCAAGGTATAAAAAGAAGTAGTATTAGTGAGCTTAAGAGGTTCAAGTAGGCCTTTGGACAGAGCCAGGCTAGCTGTTTACCCCTGTTTCCAGTCTTTGTGCTAAGCTAAGCTAACTGAGTACTGGCTGTAGCCCATTGACTGTATATGTAATGGACAGAGCTTCCGGGTCTAAAAAGTGAAGCCAAGGCGGAAGTGTCTTAAAACCTGCATTGTATGTAAAGGCCAGCAGGGCTCCATTGACTGCAATAACACACTGATACCATTAACTCTAATGGAGCCGACTTCGGTCTTAATCACTAGTTTCACGTCTTCTTCAATACATTATGATGTTCATTTAGTAAATTATGATCCAATTTTAGAGTAAAATTGATGATAAAGCCGTGTGTTTCTTTGGGCAGGGCTACCGTATGACTGACAGGTCTCTCTCCGTGTCTGTCCAGCACAGTGCATGAAACTCAGTTAAAATTGTCAAACCAGGCATCAAGATTATGTTACTGTGTTGCCCGTCTCACTTAAGATCGTTTCAAAAACATATTTTAGTGAAATGTAATACAAGATCGTGTGTGACCAGGCAAGCCGCCATTGTTTCCTGGGTGACCAATGGGTGACAAGATAGGTTCACACTTGCTGTAGCATTACATTTACCATGCAGACATGAAAGTGGTATCCATCTCCTTATCCAAGAAAACAAAAAATGTCTTTCAAAATCTAAAACTATTCCTTTAACCCAGCTTTAAAGTATATAATGCAGTCATGCATCTGTCCTGAGTTCTTCTGTGACATAAACGTGAACCATCTCTTCTATCCAACCCTTATGACATGAATGTGAAATTAGACTCTCTCTGCCTTGTAAAGGTTCTCACTTCATGCCTTCAGCTTGTAACAAACACTCTGTTTCTTTTAAGAATTAGTAGTCTAATATGACTTCATTAATCACTTGAAACACTAAAAGTGTCCCTTTTAATTCATGCAGCATAATAGTAAATGTATCGTTATATTGTATATTGTCGTAATAATGACTGTGTATGGGTCCCTCTCACTGCAGAGCTGGAGGTTGCTGGTGGTGGATCCCTGTGGCAGGACCCATGGTGGGCGGAGCAGTTGGAGCAGGCGTTTACTTCCTCTTCATAGAGTTGCACCACCCTGAGCCTGAAAAACAGGAGGAGAACAATGTTCAGGACAAATATGAAATGATAACTATGAGTTAAATTTTAGAACAAAGTTTGCAGAGCAAAGCAACAAAGCAGCTGCTTTTCACCCTCAGAAGGCAAAAAAGTTCAGTTTTATACATTTCTACAATTACTGTTCTGAGAGAATTTACAGTCAGTGGTTTAATACCAAGCATGCGTGTGACTACAGCATTTTACAGTCATTTTGAAATATGCATGAGTGTTTTATGAAGCCTTTATGTCTCTTTTTGTAGAAAGTCTGGTCTATTTATAGGTTTCAGGTTTTATCTGCCAGGGGCTCTTTCATATATCAAAATATTAAACTTTCTTGATAAATATGTTCTCTTTAGACATCAAGCTTTTCGTTTAATTCCATGATATCATAACCTTGCATGGGGAGTTTCCTCTGCATTATAGCTATGCAGTATTCTTTATAGTCTCCTATATCCTAACTGGATTCATCTTCTCTTGTTAGAAATATTTGCCAAGTTTCTTTACAGCATTTTTACTTTACTACTATCTACCTAACAAACAGGGGCATTAAATATATGTAGCACTTAGGAATGCGGAAATGTAGTAATTTATATTATTTTTAGTCAGTGTGTTACAGTAATGTGTGTTTTGTGGAGTGACTTCCTTATTCTGTTTCACTTCCTTTGCATGTGCGATTGATTGCTTTATCTTACTAGTCTTTATAACATATTTATGTAGAAAATCCAGCCTTAAATGATTATACTGGTTTTGCTTACTTTTTCACTCATATCCATAATTGTGTGACACACAAACTTGTGTTATATTGCTGGATTACAGATATACTCATTACAGGTACCTTTGATATTTAAAAGCCATAACTTAACATGCAAGCATCTGCTTTCTGCAAACACTCACACAAAACAAAGATTTCTTTTGTTTCAAGCTAAGAAACCTTTGCAAATGTCACTGAAGTCCTTGATGAATTGTGTTTGAGTCAGTGACCATGCTGTATCAGGGGGCACAACACTGACTGTATCTGTTTACATTAAAAACTCTTCAGAGCTGAGGTAAAATGTGGAGTAAATCACACATTTCTGCTGTGGTTTAGGTTTGAGTTTGAGCTCAATACTGGAAACTAGACAACAACGTTTTTTTGCAAAATGAAATGTAAAATGAAGGTATAAAACACTGGACAATCCTTTATATTGAGATGCACAATGCTTGTATCCTGAGAGCAAAGAAATGTGAATTTGCAAACACAAACCCAATGTCAACATGCTGTGTGTTAGAATAATATGACCCAGCCTGGGTCATATTATTAGTAACATGCTCCACACAACACTGTCAAACAACATAGAGGCATTATATTATATACATATTAATTGTGAGATTATATTGTACTGCACTGAATGTCATTTTACAATAGCACAGTATTTTACACTTGTGGACACTTGTTTGGCAACATGACAATCACTTAGATTACCAGGGTTTTTAATCTCTTTGTTTTACTTTTGTGAAACAAAAAAAATGTGGCACAAACATCAAAGAGTGATTTTGCTGTGACGTCCTGGATTAAACTTTCACTGCATCATTTGGTCCTTCTTTCACCAGAACCAGTTAAACACTAGTGTCTCCATCACTTCAAACCCTACATGTGGCCTAGTGCTTCTGTCATGAGTGGCAGCCTGTCAGGAAGTAACATTTGAATCTTTTTGTCTGTTGTTGTTTGTTGCTTATTTTCAGTTGCTTTTTCTAACATAGTTTAGTAACATTTTCTCAAGCACTATGTCTGAATCAATCTGAATTTTCTTTTACACTATTCAATGTATCTCAATATTGAATAAAGTTCGTTGAAATGATTTGTTCACACTTGTTGTGTGGGTCTAAATGACTAGTGGTACAACAATAATAGGATGGCATTATATCTTGTGATATAAAAATTGGACAATATGCAACCATGATGCCTCCCAGAAGGAAACAAAAATAAATTGTAATCTCTAATATTGTGAACAATCAGAGGTTTGGTATTTTCCTACTAACATATTTATTTTCTGCTGTCCTCTTTAAAAAAAAACAAATAACATATACTTGTCCTAGGCCTGAAATGTAACTTTTTAGATTATTTATTTATTTATTTGATAGGACAGTCGAAGATAGACTGGAAAGGGGGTACAGAGAGAGGGGGGATAACATGCAGCAAAGGGCTGCAGGTTGGAATCGAACGTGGTCCACTCAGCCTACATGGGGCACATGCTCTGCCAGGTATGCTACCATGCACCCCTTCTGCAAAGATAAGCTAAGATGTTTGTCAGACTTGATCTTTATTTTGCTGAAATTATCGTCAGCGGCTTTGTTTTTATAATCCATTAGGAAAAATAACAATTTTCACAGAAGACATTTTGACATGTCACAGTAGGAAAAGCACAGGGGATCAAATTAATAATGGCTGAATTCCATTTAGCTGCTTCAGTTTATATGGTAGTGTGCACCTTGGCTCACTGTCACACTGTTATTACTTACTGGAACGCTTAACAAGCACTGAGCTGTCATTAATGCTTTTAGTTACACCTGTGACATCAAACATTTCTGCTGGGAAAATTCAATTCAGTCTAGGCAGGTGGGAGTTTGTGATAACGCAATAAAAACAACACATTTTCCATTTTACTCTGAAATCTGAAAAGAAAATAGAAATTAAATAGAAAAGAAATTAAGCAAATTAAACACAAATTTATGCCTAAGGACAAATAAATCATTAACTGTCTTTTTTTCATTCAAATTATGTTAAAAATATCATGAAGCATTATTCCTCTACAAGTGATGTTTCATTTCCAAAAAAATCTCTCTCTCTCTCTCTCTCTCTCTCTCTCTCTCTCTCTAGCACACACACACAGTGTTATAGACCAGCTGCGTTCATTAGATATTCTTTAGTCATTATCTTAGTCAAGTAAACCTACCAATCATCAACCTAAGTAGCGAGTACAGCAGAAATACATCAAAATTTAAAACAAGACAACTGTAACTGGATTATATAACTTCATGGAGAATGGATAAGGAGTGTGTTTTTGCAGTTCAGTGGTTTCTGAGCTCTTCCCCATGAGTGTATCTTCTCTTTGACTTGTACAACAGCTTTACATTATAATGGGCCACAATGGCTTCTGTGCATGAGCTTTTTTCTCATATGAAAGTATTTCTATAGTTTTTTGTTGATATTTTCTGCCCTTTTGGCCGCCTCAGTTCAGTCTCATTCTTAACCTGATTTAGTTATTTTGTGTTGTATTGTATTTTTTTTGTCTGACCTGGACAAACTGAACTAGTATTTGTGTATATTTGTTCAGCATGCCCAGACACGGATGCAAACACACTCACACACACACATATACACGCACATATACACACAATACTTGGAAAAGCAAAGGTTCAGCATGTTTTGCTCTTCCGTTCACCTACATCACACATTAGACAAACTGTAACTTTAACTATTTTGCTGCTGGACTGAAACGTCCATATTAATAGTTTGAAATGTTAGTCTGTTCAGTCTTAAAGTAGCTGACAGAAGAGGACACTCACTGAAGCCTGAACTACAGGAACTATGTATCTGTGTGTTTATATATGTGTGAATGCTGACCTGATTTGAGACTTGGCACACAGTTCTCTACTGATATGTTATATAAATACTTCCAGTACTGAATATGCCTGTTTAGATATGATGATATGCATTTAAAGCCACTGGATAAAATTAAGTTGTATAACTAGGTTTGGGAACAAAGACCACACCTCATCTCATTTCTGCACAAAAAGTACTTAAGCACACCTTAACCGTTAACTTCCCCCCCGCCCCCCAAACCCCTTTTTTCCCCTCTCTCTCTCTTATTTAAATACAGGAACCACTGGGGCTTTAAATAAGAGATAAGAAGAGACAGCTCCCCCACTCAGAGTC